AACAAGTGCATCGCTTCTAGTAACAAGTGCCTTACTAGTAGTAACAATGTTTGCTAACAGAAACAAAAAGGCTACTAGTAACAAGTGCATCGCTTCTAGTAACAAGGGCCTTACTAGTAGAAATAATGTGTGCTATTGGAAACAAAAAAGCTACTAATAACAAATGCATCGCTTCTAGTAACAAGTGCATCGCTTCTGGTAACAAGTGCCTTACTATATAGTAGTAACAAGAAGCTATTAGAAACAAAAAACTACTAGTAACAAGTACATCGCTTCTAGTAACAAGTGCATCGTTACGATTCTAGTAACAAGTGCCTTACTAGTAGTAAAAATGGTGGCTAATAGAAACAAAAACTACTAGTAACAAGTGCATCGCTTCTAGTAGCAAGTGCACCGCTTCTAGTAACAAGTGCCTTACGAGTGGTAACAAGAAGCTATTAGAAACAAAAAACTACTAGTAACAAGTGCATGGCTTCTGGTGACAAGTGCCTTACTAGTAGTAACAAGAAGCTATTTGAAACACAAAGGCTACTAGTAACAAGTGCATCGCTTCTAGTAACAAGTGCCTTACTAGTAATAGTAACAATGTTTGCTATCAAAAACAAAAAAGCTACTAGTAACAAGTGCATCGTTTCTAGTAACAAGTGCCTTACTAGTAGTAACATTGATTGCTATTTCAAACAAGTGCATCGCTTCTGGTAACAAGTGCCTTACTAGTAGTAACAAGAAGCTATTGAAAACAAAAAGCTACTAGTAACAAGTGCATCGCTTCTAGTAACAAGTGCCTTACTAGTAGTAACAATGTTTGCTATTAGAAACAAAGAAGCTACTAGGAACATCCAAGGTCCACATTGCCCACATGTCGTCTCCAAGGTCACCAAAGTCCAAATGGCGTCAGACCGAGGGGCGGAAGTTCCGGAAGTTGGCCTCTTTGAAGTCCAAGCCTGAAGCTGTCGACTAGATTGCTAGCCCATTACATGGCCCAATCCAATATGTTCGAGCAATTGTTTGAGGAAAACTCTGAGTCTCATGTCCAGTCTGAACCAAGCTGACTGAGTGCCCCACTCCACCCCTTGAGCACATCAGGAGGCCTGAGTCAGCAGTACCAAAAGGGGGCACCCATCCAGGTGCAAAATAAAGAAACCAAGGTGGGGGCACGCTCTGTAGCGTCCTTGGAAACATCATGGAACATCTCGTCAAATCGCTTGGCGTGCAAAAAGTCCTTTTGTGCTAAATGACTCTCTGGCGGTGATCTATCTCTCAAACCGTTTATAACACTTTTGGATACTTTTGGATGTGTAATTAAGCTGCGGCCAAAATGCAAAGGGAACAACTAAGCCAAGCTTTCGGTTTTCATGCTGCTGTTGGTGGCTTGGCCGCCTTATGTTGTCCGTGCAGGTATGTATTCTAACCACGACAAATCTTACGTCATTCCGGCTACTCATTGTTCCCAATGTTTCTCATCCGTGAAAACTTCACAAGGCTGCAAAAACCATCAAAGAACTGCACAAGCCCTCTGGAAGATCGGGGACATGCGGGGTCTGCATAGAGGAAGCTCCATCGAAATTCCTGCTAAACCTTTGCGGAGCATTCTCAAAACACAGCGCTACGAGTAACAAAGGGCTTTGCTTTGCTACTAGTAACGGCAAGCTACGAACAAGAAGCTACTAGGGGCTCCTGGCCTTACTACTAGGAGCTAGGGGCTCCTGGCATCGCTACTAGGAACAAGAAGCTTTACCAGTAATAAGGGCTTCGCATCCGACGGACGTCACTGACCGAGGTCTATGAGCCCACTGAGCAATGGACGCTACTAGGAACAAGTGCATCGCTTCTAGTAACCAGTGACTTACTAGTAGTAACAATGTTTGCTAGTAGAAACAATAAGAAGCTATAGACTTTAAAGAAACAACTATTTAAGTGCAATTAGAAGCCCACTGAGGGTCGCCAAGTTTCGCAGCATAAGCTCCATCGCTTGGGCGGCAAGGTGTGGCAGCCAGGACTTCTTCGAGGCTCAGGGAGCCTGTGCAAATCTTTCGGAAGCTGGTGGGCGCCAGATTCAACGAAATGTACTGTATAGTCTGTATAGTCATTATATACTTGCAAAAACAGGGTTAAAGGTATTGTCGTCGTTGATGAGTGCCTCATTTGGACGTCACACCGCATGGCATCATGGACCAGCACCCTTTTTGGCGGCTCGAATCTACAACCAGGAAGTCACGAGCAATGAAAGACAATCGGTTTGCAGTCTAGTACCACTGGAATCATAAGTATTTGATATTGTTTGATTTGTAGCACTCCTGTTTTGACGCGAAAGGCCGGCCTGCGGTAAATGTCTGATGCTTTACATGTCAAAAAGTTCACTCCGGTCATTGTTCTCGTCCGGGTGCTATGTCACCTTGCACAAAATGTGCATGGCTTCTTGGAGATGCTTTTCGTTGTGGCCCGTTTCAAGACCTGGCACATTGGATTCGTGTGCCATGAATCACCTGTCGGTGTCACAATCACTTCCTTATTCAATGGACATGTTGTCCTCAGGTGGCTTTCAAGCGCTGCCCGATCAGATGAGCTCGAACTTGATGTTGGATCCTCCAACTGGCGCAAGCGGCAGCGCAGCTTGTGTGTGTTGTTCTCTTCCTGCTTCGTCTGGTTGAGGGACCAGGCCAAGTCATTCTCGAGCATCTTCTTTTGTCGTTCCAGTTCAGTGATGGTCTGCCTCAAAGTCCTGATCTCAGCCAGCAGTCCCGAGGTGGTAAAGAGATCACACTGGCTGTCTTTATCTTCCATCTCACATTCTTCTTCTTCTTCCTGCATGTGGTTCTCCTTCTTCACGTGGTAGCTCATGAAGGCATTCTTCAAAGTCCTCCATAGCCCCAAAAGCAGCTGCCAGCAAAGAATGGTCACAGCAGCAATGCCACCAACCATGTAGTGGAAGGAGTAGTCGGTCTCCTCATCGTCAATCTCGTTCTTTCTCTTGCTTGCAGCTGGGGTACCCATCAGGGTCAAGAAACACAGCATGGCCAGCAATCTAGCCGAAGGTCTCGTTGAGGATGAAGTTCCCCCGTGCCGAAGGAGCTCTTTATCTCCCATGTGCAAATGCTCTTCTTCAATCGCTTCAAACTTTGGAAGCCGTCGTGCTTCAATTGGATGGCCCGGCACATTCCAGAATTGTACAAGTCCTGTCGTGAGCAGCTCGTTCAGACATGGCAATACCATGACCTTGGTCAATGCGTCGCTGGTCATACAGCTTGTCGGGATGAGAATCACCCAGCGAATGCGACCACATAGTCGAGCTTCACGATGTCCCATGATGTAAATTCTTTGACGCTTGTCCTGAGGCATCGACTTCACTCCCGTGGCGAGTTCATAGAAGTCCCTGCAGTCAGTATAGCAATCCACTGGTAGGACAGGAACTCCTTGTTCTTGCAGGCCGCCAACTGATGAAGTGTTGGCTTCTTCTCCTTGATCGGGAGTTCTCCCAGGCGTAGCGCCACCAAGCTTGAAGATTCGAGGCCATTGATGGCTGCCAGGGTCTCACCATGGCTGGTGCTGTAGGAGATCCTTTTGGCCTTGTTTCCTTGTGCCCACAGGATGTGAGCTGGACCGCCAAATCGTTCTGGATCACAGTGAAGTCCAGAAATGTCGTGGAGCTTGTCATCAATGTCCAACTTGTCAACGGTCAACAGGACCAGGATCCCTTCATTGGCATAGGTGCGTCCTTGAGACGCTGAGGAAGCGTCATGAATGCATGCCAAACGCCAGCCCTTGGATCTTGGGAAGTGTCTGTAGATGATGGCGAGGCCCTTATACTTCTTATCTTGCGCTCGCTTCACAATGTCATTGGCCATCTTCAGGTGCTTCACTTTGGCTTGTGTCACAAAAGTCTGAAGGCGACACACTTCTGCCACCAAGTCAATGCGAGTGGCAGTCAACCACAGCAGTCCTCCAAGAATCGATCTGTATTGTGTGACCTCCTCTTTGGTCAGAGCACGCTCCTCATCCTTGCTGTCCTTAATCTCCGTGGGCTTCAAGGAGGCAGTGAAATCATACTGCTGCACGCGATAGCCCTGAGGCACCTCTTCATAGACCATGCCACAATGCGTGAATAGCATCTGCTGTCGGCTGACCTTGCCAAACTTCTTGGTGAACTTGTCGTGGAACTCTTGCTGTTTGGCCGATGGTGCAGCGATGGCGATGTCATCAACATGTGTTGTAAGAATTGTGGTGACCTGTCCAGCTGACTTCCAGTACCATAGATTTTCATCGAAAACGGACTGAGTGCCTCCAAGCTCCGCCACATATTCATGGAGACATAGTTGCCAGGCAAGCGGTGCATCATTTAAGCCGTAGACCGGCTTGTTGCATCCCAACAGGTACTCACTCATGCTGCTTTCGGGAATGTCAAAGCCCTTGTCCAGCTTCGCCAAACGTCGCCAAACATTTGCAGGAGGAACTATGGCCACCAGACGTCTTGGAGAGATGACGCCTCGCTCGCGAAGCTTCTAGCGCACTTGGTCGAAAGAAAGACCTTTCAAGAAGGCACCAGAAACATCCAGGGACTCACCCAGGTGTAGTGCGGCAGCAAGACTGACCAGCAGTCTCTGTGACAAACGAGTTGCCGTTGTTGATCTGGTTGGCATGGAGGACTTCTGAAGATCTAGAAAGCCCCGAGCGCATAGTCTGCTCTTTGCCTTCATGGACTTGTCAGGGTTCCTTTTGAACTTGCGAACCCATGCGCAGTCAACGATCACCATCTCATCAGTCACTTCGCTGACGTGCAACTTGAAGAAGGCATTCTCATCGATGAATTGCTTCAGTTCTGCAAAGTCAGAGAGCTCGAAGGACTCCCAGCATTTGCTCAGCTGTTCCTCAGTCAGGGCATCTGTGTCAGAGTCCACACAGAAGATGTCAGTGGTCCTCAGATCCATATAGAGGATCTCTGCTTCCTTGCCATGGAAGTGGAAGAGGAAACGTTGTCGTGGTACATGAGGAGCAGTCTGTTGAGGTCGGCTCTGTTGCAGAACTAAAGCTTGGTTGTCAAACCAGATCTCATCGCTTGGGTATTGGATCACCAATGGCCGTCTTGTCATCCACCACATGGATTGCAGAAGCAGGTGGTGTTCTGAAGGTCCTTCATCTTCTGCATACTCATAACGAGCCTTCTTCTTCTCCGGTGCCATCACGATGGTCCGAGTCTTTTCCTGGATTCCTGAATATCCATGGGCTGATCTTGCAGTTCAGGAACTTGCTGTTCTTGGCAGCAGGTGCTTGCCTTGTGGTGATTTGTGCCGGTGGAGACTCCTCCTGGTAGATGGTGTAGTAGTACAAGTAAAGATGACACACATCTTCTAAAGCACTGTGCATGATCTTCTTCAAAACCCGGTGGTTGTCGCCGCCATTGTGTTCCACCATGACATACTGCTTTGAACCATGCGGCCATGACAAAAGGATGCCTTCGAGAAAACTTTAGCGCGTAGATCTGCTTGACAGCTCGTCCATAGCGAATGCCGTGCAGCTCTCGCTTGCTATAGAATGCTGCAACTCTCTTGGCCTTGGACAACAATTCCTCTTCTGCTGAGCTGATTTCAGCTGGAACTCGAATCCACTGTGGCGATGATGTAGAGGAGGAAGTAGTGTACAAATGTCCAATGGTGTGCAGCTTATACGGCACGCTCTTTTCACAATGCTGTTGCAGATCAAGCAGGTCTTGCTCACAGCGCTTCTCGAGGTCTTCAGTCGTGTTGTGGGAGAAGAAACTTCCACGGTATGGTCGAATGCGCCGAAGGCTCATGAAGTATGGTCGTCCTTGATACTCCACGATGCACGTTCCATCTGCATCGTTGATTTTCAGCAAAAGCGCTGGACCACGCCAACCATAGTTGCCATCGTCACGGAAGATCTCAACTTGCGATGAGCCTGCCACCAATCCAGAAAGATCTAGCTTCTCTGGTCTGCTGCGTCCAGCTCTTGTGGTTCGATCCTCCAGGATGGACGCTTGTGCTGCTTGAAGTGCAATCTGCCGTAGGCGAACAGCTCGTTCGAATGGAGACTGATCCATCTCTGCACTGGCTGCTGAAAGGGGCACTTCTTCATGATCAATAGCCACCAATGTTCAGTGAGGTTGTGGCTCATGGCAGCTTCAGAGACCAGCTCATCATGTTCAGGCACTATTGAAAAACGAGAAGCTTCCGTGGCACATGTGCCCCTCGTCAACTTCAACAGACCAATATGTCTTTCCACCATTCCAGTGCCAGTGTGCTTGTGTCCTTGTGGACCACTTGTTGTGCCCATGGGAACCCGCTCAATTCCAAGCCGATCAAATTCAGGTGCTGCTTCTTGACTCATGAGGGCTCCTTCTTGGTCACATACGATACGACGTGCTGGGCCGAAGTAGCGAAACCAGAGGCCTAGGAGAGCTTCCTGGAAGCTAGACAGCTCTCTGGACTTGAGAGTTCCCGCAACTTTGTATCGTGTAGCCTCATCCACAATGCAGACAAAGAGGCTTGATCTCCAAGAAAAGGAGTCCACCTGAATCACCTCATTGAAGTCCTTGGCCAGACCGCTCTTCACTTGTGGCCTTCGTGTTGCTCTGGTATAGCGGCGGCAGACAGCGCAAGAGGAGACAACTGTCTTTGCTAGGCTCAGGACTTCTGGAGGCATGCCACACCGCGACAGGATGTTGCGGAAGTCCATGACAGGACAATGCCAAAGCCGTTCATGTAGTTCAAGAAGTAGTCGCTTGGCCTTCTGCTCATCTGTCGTGGCAAGAGTTGGCAGCTTGCGAAAGATCCGGCGAAAGCCATAGAGCGGTTTCATGGTTCTTGATTCTTCTCCATCATCAGCTTCTATCACCTGCACTTCTTCATCTTCAGCACTTCTTCATCTTCATATGGCACAGGAAGAGTTCCATCATCCAGTGGCTTGAATTCTTCGATCGGCTCTTCCTTGACTTGCACAGGAGGTGCTGCAGGTGTTCCAGGAGCAGGTGTACTTGGTCCTGGAGTTCCAGGCGTCGGTGTTCTTGGCGCTGGAGTGCCTGGCAATGTCGGCTGAGGGCTTCTTGAGGAAGACGCCGGTGGATAGCTGCCAAAAA